AAAAAAAATCTTCTCTTTGGTGGGGCATGGTGGCTCACGTCTGCAATCCCAGCACTCTGGAAGGCCAGGGCAGGCGGATCACTTGAGGTCAGGGGTTCAAGACCAGCCTGGCCAACATGGTGAAACCTCGTCTCTACTAAAAATACAAAAATTAGCCAGGCATGGTGGTGCACTCCTATAATCCCAGCTACTCGGGAGGCTGAGGCAGAAGAACCGCTTGAACCCAGGAGGTGGCGGTTGCAGTGAGACGAGAGTGCACCACTGCACTCCAGCCTGGGGGACAGGAGCAAGACTGTCTCAAAATAAAAATAAAAATAAATTAGCTGGGTGTGGTGGCACACACTTGTAGTCCCAGCTACTTGGGAGGCTGAGGTGGGAGGACTGCTTGATCCTGGTAGGTGGAGACTGCAGTGAGCTGAGATGGCACTACAGAACTCCAGCCTGGGTGAAGGAGCAAGAGTCCATCTCAAAAAAAAAAAAAAAAAAAGAAAAAGAAAATCAGTCTATATAATTCATTAAATTAAGAGATTAAAGGAGAAGTATCACCATTTCAATACATGTAGGAAAAAAATGAAAAAATGTATCACTCACTCATGATTTAAGAAAAAGAAACTCTGGCCGGGTAAGGTGGCTCACATTTGTAATCCCAGCACTTTGGAAGGCCAAGGTGGGCAGAAAATGTGAGGTCAGAAGGTCGAGACTAGCCTGGCCAACATGGTGAAACCCTGTGTCCACTAAACATACAAAAATTAGCTGGGCATAGTGCTGCACACCCATAGTCCCAGCGACTTGGGTGGCTGAGGCAGGGGAATTGCTTGAACCTGAGAGGCAGAGGTTGTAGTGAGCCGAGATCGTGCCACTGCACTCTAGCCTGGGTGACAGAGCAAGACTCTATCCCCCCCCCCAAAAAAAAGAAAGAAAAAAAAAGAAGACAACAACAAAAAACCCCACACAGCTAACATCATACTTAACTGTGAAATAGTGAATATTTTTCCTTTAATATTGGGTAAGAGGCAAAGATGACTGCTCACACCCCTTCCACATTTGAAAGGAAAAGGCAAAGATGTCTTTATTCACAGGTGTCATGATTATGTATGCAAAAAATCCTAAAGAATCTTTTAAAAATCTACTAGATCTAATGCAACAGATCTGAGCAAATTCAGCAATTAGTGAATCAATGTAAAACAAATGTATCACATTTCTATATATTAGTAGCAAACAATTAGGAAGTGATTTTTTTTTTTTTTTGGTAGAGATGGAGTCTCCCTATGTTGCCCAGGCTGGTGTCAAACTCCTGGCCTCAAGTGATTCCCCTTACCTAGGCTTCCAAAGTGCTAGGATTATAGGTGTGAGCCACCACACCCAGCCTAGAAAGTGAAATTTAAAATCCACTCTCATTTTTAATAACATCCAAAGCTATGAAATATTTAGCAGCAAATTCAGTGAAATACATACCACAGTGCTATTAAAAACTATAGCACATTGCTGAGAAAAATTAGAGAACACACAGAAATACATCCACAAATATACAACCAAATGATTTCTGACAAGGGCACTGATATAGTTTGGATGTTTGTCCCCTAAAAATTTCATGTTGATATGTGATCCCTAATATTGGAGGTTGGGCCTTCTGGGAAGTCATGGGGGTGGATTCCTCATCAATGGCTTGGTGATGAGTGAGTTCTTACTCTGTAAGTTCATGTGAGAGCTGGCTATTTAACAGAGTGTGGCACCCTTCCCTCTCTCACCATGCAACACCTGCTCCCCCTTCACCTTCCTCCATGAGTGGAAGAAGCCTGAGGCCCTCATCAGATGCAGGTGCTGCACCATGCTTCTTGTACAGCCTGCAGAACTGTGAGACAAATAAACTGCTTTTCTTTATAAATTACGCAGTCTCAGGTATTCCTTTATAGTAACCCAAAATGGACTAACAGAGGTGCCAAAGCAATTCACTGGTGGAAAGGTTTGACTTTTAACAGACAATACAAGGACAACCAGATATCCATATGTCAAAAGAATTGCTCCCCAATTCTTAACTAACATCATTTACAAAGAGTAATTCAAAATGTGTAACAGACTTAAATGTAAAATTTAAAAACTGTAAAACTCCTGGCTAGGCGCAGTGGCTCACGCTTGTAATCCCAGCACTTTGGGAAGCCGAGGCGGGCGAATCACAAGGTTAGGAGTTCGAGACCAGTCTGGCCAATATGGTGAAACTCTGTCTCTACTAAAAATACAAAAAATTAGCTGGGCAAGGTAGCAGGTGCCTGTAGTCCCAGCTATTCAGGAGGCTGTGGCAGGAGAATCACTTGAACCTGGGAGGCGTAGGTTGCAGTGAGCTGAGATCCTGCCACTGCACTCCAGCCTGGGCAAGAGCGTGAGATTCCATCTCAAAAAACTGTAAAACTCCCAGAAGAAAAAATCTTTGCAACCTTGGGGCAGACAATGATTTCTTAGACTATTTAAAACATTAATTATAAAAGAAAAAAAAATCAAGAAGTTGGATTATCACCAAAATTTAAAATTGTTATTTGAAAAACACAATTCAGAAAATGAAAATTTGGAGGAAACTTTTCATACATACACACACACATATGAACAGACCTGTGTTCTGAATATATGAAGAGTAATTACAACTGAGTAATAAGAAAATCTCATTTTAACAGATAAATTATTTGAGCAAACTAACAAAAGATATTCACATGCAGTCATGCATTAACTGTGGGAATATGTTCTGAGAAATGTGTCATTAGGTGATTTCATCATTGTGAGAACATCACAGAATGTACTTATACAAACCAAATGTTATAAGCCTACCACATACCTAGGGGCTATTGCTCCCAGGCTACAAACCTGTACAGCATGTTACATACTGAATACTGTAGGCAACTGCAACACAATGATGGTAAGTATTTGTGTATCTAAACATGTCTAAACACTGAAATGGTACAATAAAAATACGCTATTACAATCTTATGTGACTACTATCGTATCTGTGGTCCATCATTGACCAAAACACCTTTATGCAGTGTACAACTATATACTAATGGCCATTAAGCATATAAAAATATATTCAACATTATTCATCAGGGAAACAAAAATTAAAACCACAAAGAGGTATCAGCACACCCCCATTTGATCTTGCTTAACAACCAATCTGTCAATTCAAAGTGCTGGCAACAATGAGGAACAACTGGAACTTTCATACATTGGTTGTGGGAATATAAAATGGGTATAACCACTTCAGAAAAAATTGAGTTTCTTGGAAACACACACAATCCAGCAATTGTATTCTTATTTACCCAAGATAAATGAAAAATATGCCCAAAGACCTGTAAATGTTCTTGGTAGCTTTATTCAAAATAGCCAAAAATTAGAATATCTATTAACAAGTGAACAAACAAATTATAGTAATAATGTGCAATGGAATACCACTCAGCAACAAAAAAACTACAAATCAAGTAATTAATGAGTAAGGGGTGTCTTTATGGGGTGATGAAAAAGTTTTCAAACTAGAGAGAGCTGGTGATCTCACAACATTGTGAAAACAATAAATATCACTGAATTGTACACTTCAAAACAGTTGTTTGGGTTTGTTTAGTCAAAGTAAAAAAGAAAAAAAAGGCTAATTGTATGTTATGTGAATTTCCCCTCAAAAACAAAAAAACTTTTGATAAAAGCAAGAGCAGGAATGAATTCTCAACTCATGATGATACACCAATATACATCCACGATAATAGCTTAAATGACAAAGACTGACAACACCAAAACTGGTGAGAATGTGAGTAACCGGAACTCACATATTGCCAATGAAAGCATTAGACGGTATAACCATTTTGGAAAATGGTCTGGCAGTTTCTCATAAAACTAAACATGCTCCTACTTCGTGACCTAGCAATTCCACCACTAGGTATTTAAAGCTTTTGTGTGGGCAGAGATTTTCATCTGTTTGTGAGCAAATAGTGCAAGACACATAGTAGATACTCAGTAAGTATTCACCAAATGAACGTCTACTTGTTTTAGCATTGTAATAAAAAACTAGAAATAATCTAAGTATATTAATAAAAAGCTATACAGATAAAAATGTAGTATATACAGAATACTATATAAATAATTAAGGCTGGGCGTGGTGGCTCACCCCTGTAATCCCAGCACTTTGGGAGGCTGAGGTGGGTGGATCACCTAAATCCAGGAGTTTGAGACCAGCCTGAATAATATGGTAAAACCCCCATCTCTACTAAAAATAAGAAAATTAGCTGGGTGTGGTGGCATGTGCTTGTAGTCCCAGCTACTCGGGAGACTGAGACAGGAGAATTGCTTGAACCCAGGAGGCGGAGGTTACAGTGAGCAGAGATGGCGCCACTGCACTCCAGCCTGGGTGACAGAGCGAGACTCCGTCTCAAAACAACAACAACAACAACAACAAAAAACATTTAAAACAAATATGTTAGTGGCTAGAACTATCAATATCAATCCAAATCAATTTTTAAAATAATACGGAGTGAGGCCAGGCGTAGTGGCTCACACTCGTAATCCCAGTACTGTGGAAGGCAGAGGCGGGCGGATCACGAGGTCAGGAGATCGAGACCATTCCAGCTGGCACGGTGAAACCCGGTCTCTATTAAAAATACAAACAATTAGCCAGGCGTGGTGGCAGGAGCCTGTAGTCCCAGCTACTTGGGAGGCTGAGGCAGGAGAATGGCGTGAACCCGGGAGGCGGAGCTTGCAGTGAGCTGAGATCCGGCCACTGCACTCCAGCCTGGACGACAGAGCGAGGCTCCGTCTCAAAAAACCAAAATAAAATAATACTTAGTGAAAAACACAAGTGCAGGCTATAAGCAATATGATGTAACTTATTTAAAATTTAAAAACACATGCAATAATAGACACATATAAAATATAATTTAAGAAATACAAAACACAGATATCAACTCATGATGTTAAGTACCTGGTTATGGATGGGTGGGATGAGACTTCAACTTTATTGGAAATATTTTATTTCCTTATCTAAAAAAATACTAGAAATAAATACAACAAAATGTTAACAGTTGTTAATGTCAGCTGCTGTAAATATAGATATTGTGTTACTTTAGTCTATTTTTTATCTCAACTAAATTAGCAAAAGAATTTAAAAACCCTAGTGTTATATGCAAGTGAGTCAATAATGGCAAAATAACAATGAGATACATAGAAGGTGACTAACTTTTAATGGTGAATACTGGATCCAAGCACAAGTTTGAAAATTTTGATTTCCAAAAAAAAAAAAACATAAAACTTAAGGGATGAATGAAAAACAGACAAAATGGAACAGGGCAATAAGAATATTATTAAATAAGAAAATCTACTTCGAACAAGGAAATCTTTCCAGTTACAGATATATTTAAAACTCTTTCACATATCCCATCTGTTGTTGTTAAAGAATGTAAAAAGGATAAAATTTTAAAGGAAGCACAGTGAGTACTGAAAAAGCTAAAGTATAAAAGAAAAAATGTAAATATAGGATAACACAATTAAATCACAAAGTTTGGCAGTATAGTAGAACAAGACAGTATATTATCCATTTTATATCTAATATTTTGATATCTGGTCCTAGTTCCGTAACTGGCATAAACTTTGTTTTATATTTTTTATGATATTTATAATAAAAAATACGGCATCCTACTTTTTCCACCAGTCTCATATTTGCAGTTTTTCCTCGTTGAACTGGCTGATCTCTGAGCACCCTTCTAACTCTAAAATTAAACTGGTAATTAGAACACTGCCTTCCACATAGCTGTTTCAATGACTAGAAAAACAATCATTTTGGACTATTAAATAGAGATTTCAAAGAATACTGGGTATGATAGGCACAGATAAATACTAAACGATTTAAAATTTTGGTCATATAAAAACACATACATACCATTCGGAGATGTTTACTCGGCCAGAAAATGTATAATTAACTCCTACTAAAGGTTGAGGCACCTGTGGCTATTCCATAAATACTGATGTGAAGATGATTAAAGTAATACCATCTTACAGTACGTCGCCTGAGTCAGAACCAAATAAATCAATACATAAATACTTTTGGGAAAAATAAAAACCATGGAAAAATGTTATCTTCCCAACAATCTATTTTACAGAGACCCATAGTTTATAACAGCCTTTATGCTGTGTGCATCAAGATCATCTATCACACAAAAACTGATTCCACCCCCTCTACTGGCAACGCCCCAGCACCGCGGGTGAGTTGCCAGGATGGACTCCCGGCTTTCCCCTCTCCGTCTTCCTTAGAGCATCAGGTATCTGACCACTGACATCACCTGGGCACCTGACCAGCTGACCCGCGTTTCCAGGAGCCAGATCTGTGCCGTGGGGCCGGGTTCAAGGCCTGGGGAACAGGATCTGTGCGCGGAGCCCCTCGTGGGCCCGTGCATTCTGCAGTTCAACCCAAACCGCACATTTACTATGTTTTGTTTTTCTCCATCGGTTGCCAATTAGTTTCTAAAGAAGATATTCCCATTACAAAATAATAGCGAAATAAAAATAAGCACCACGTGAAAAAGAGGCCAGCAGGGAGGCACCTGAGGGCTGTTTGGGTGATTAGCCGCCGCGTCTACTAGGAGCGACCTCCACCGCCGAGGGAAATCACCCAAATGAGCCCCGGGCTGCCGCGCTCCTTCACTACAGCGAGCGTGGCCGGGAGGCGCCCTTCGGCCGCAGGGACCCAGTCACGCCAGAAACCGCTCCTTGCGGGTTTTGCCTGGTGGGAGGCCGGAAGAACCCCGAGCAGGGCCTCGCCTGGTAGAAGGCCGCAGGCAGCGGCCGGGGTCCCCGAGAGAACCAAGGAGGCCAGCAAGGACCCGAGAAGGCGCGCGCGC